AACAAGGAGAAGCGCGGTGACGCTCCTCCCCCGAAGGACACCACTGCTCCTCCCCCTCCTAAGGACGACAAGCAGAAGCGTGGCGACGCCCCTCCCGCTCCCAAGGACACTCAGATCCCTCCCCCTCCCAAGGACGACGACAAGGAGAAGCGTGGCGACGTCCCCCCTCCTAAGGACACCCAGGCTCCCCCCCAGCCTAAGCCCACTAACAACTAAACGGGTTGTTTAATGGCGTACGGCTAATGGAATTCGAGGATATGAATTGGGCTTGTGAGCAAGCGGATGCGCTCTTTTTGATTTTTAAATATTTGACTGTTCTATGCTTTTATTTATATTTCCATAACTGTATGGCTTTGCTCTTGTACAGTCTTTCGCTAAAGATATCCAATGAAATGCTCGACCATAACTCTTGTTTTCCCCCTTCTGTAGTTTGATATCGTTTTTTGGCGGCTTGGAGCCAGAGAACTATTGTATCACATCGTAACAAAACTGATTTTCCTTTGGGCTATCCGAGTACCTTGAAAACAGCCACGTATTAAAATTTGGCAATTGCAAAGGCAACTGAAGACTCCTTCGGTCAGGGGCATAAACACTACGGGTCCTAGGCAGTTAATGATTGAGTCACGAATATCCATTGTACGCAGCTTCGAATTTACATAACTCAGTGAGGCTTATCGCTCTGGATTATTGGTGCGGTGGACATTGTTTGTAATACATGGACTCGGTTTAAAAGCACTCTTTGTCTCTGAGAGTTCGTAAATGATACTATCGAGTTGTTGAAGTCGTCTGCTGGGCAGATCTTGATGCCCACACGGCGTGGTCCCTATATTGTAACTACGGCGTCGATTACTTCGAAGGCGAGACGACAGCGGTTTTCGACGGAACCTCTGTGTTCATCGGTTCTTTGGCTCGAGTGACTAGGGCTGTGTTAGGATGCTGTTTACTGTGTACACCTGGAGGAGAGTGCCTGTTACGGCAGATTTACGAGCACAAGAAGTTATGAATCAAATATCCACTGTATCAATCCATCAATATTTGTCTTAGCACCACTTAATTTGAGCTGGAGCTTACCCATGCGCGGCCAATTCGATTCCATCGATCCCTGCTTCCTTGGCTCACTGTATTTGACAATTCAGGGCTTAGAGGAACCTCTTTTTTAATAGATAATACCGCCGCTGCACCCATGGGTATGTTACCATTGCATTTCATTCCAAGCTTGTGGAGGTATACAAATTCTCACATTCGCACCAAGGAGGGTGAGTCTATGTGCGGCAATGAGCCTTATCTCGTGAAGAACAAGTCGACGCTCGAGTTTAGGGACTTTTCCATTCTGCGAACCGGATTTTTGGGCATTCGTGCTCCACGTCAGAACCCGGAGTCTACAGAGCATACACAGTAGATAATCTAGACCAGAGAGACTCTGTCTTTTTCTTTCTCTCGTGCTAAAATGTGTCAGACAATCTGTCAATGCGTTGCAAAGGTTGCGCCTGTCGCATAAGCGGTATGATTGGTAGAAGACAGAGTCTCTACCACTCTCCGCATGGTGCGCGTGTATATGGAGCTGCTCTATCGGTTATTCTTCTTTCCTTCAACGGAATATCTTGTATGCTATTTATTCGGGCTTAGCCCTGAGCATTATTGCATGAGGCCGTCACATGTCTGTACTTATGGTTCTAAAATCTGAGACTGATCCCAGTTATTTATTCTAAAACACTGGCTATTTATTTGACTATAATACGGGGCTTGGATAGTGCTGGACCAGAGTCTCAAAACAAGTTCATCTTTACAAGACTAGTTTATTAAACTATACGCAATTGCTAAACACCATCCAGAATTAATGTATTGTCAACTACGTTGGCTCAGTACGATGTCTTATAAGCACTATTCGGAATGAATAGAGGAAAAAGTAAGAATTCTGGTTGAGAAAGGTATCGATAAATGAGAGTTATGTATAGACAATCTGGACCCATAAACAAACAAAGTCGGGAAGTCATTCCGAAACATGAAACGATAGACAAAACGAGACATGCATAGAGAATGTATGCGTTCGCCGTACCAAATACCGTGTATCGACATTCTAATCCATCAAATAGAGCCAGTGATAGCTCTATTTGGTCTGAATTTTCCAGTAGTGAAGATTAGTCTCTTCCGACCACTACCTTGATGTCAAGTACCCCAGTCAACATACTGCCGCGCAGGGAGGCTGGTTGATGGTGATGGCATGGTTTCTTGGATGGTAGAGACCATAGACACATTGTCATCTTCAACGGCCATCTTGCAGTGGCTGGAATGCTGAATGGATTGGTTATATGGGAGATTTATGGAGTATTTGAAGGGGAGACTGTCCGGCCATGTGTATTTGACTTGTTTGCTTATAGTGCAAAGTGAAGGTAGGGCAATCAAAACAAATACCACACTCACACTCACACACACACACACACACAACAAAGGTGACATGCCAACCTGGAAAACTCTGCTGTCTATCACGCACTGCCTGGGTTGTTATTAAGAGAATTTGATGGTAGCCGTGTCCTTGGTTGGTGTATTCTGTGTTTTTTTTTTTTTTTTTTATCATACTATTTGGATACTAATGTGACCTGGCATAGTCTGTCATTGACGAGGAGCATATCAGGTAGCAGGACATCCAGTTGTGTGGCAAGGTCAGGAACCAGGGATAGCTCGCGAAAATCACAGGTAAGGGCACCATGCTATGCATGAGGCAAGTGCTAATATCACGGTATATGTTTGAGAGCCTCAGGCTCCAATATGCCCCGCTCCTGATTGGCCCGTACTAGCGAGCCCACACACAACTGCCGGATAGAGGAGATCCACCCTCATCCATCTACACAGACACAGAATACAATAGTATCGTCGATGCCGTTCCTTGCCATAGCCTGATCCACAGTATACCCCAGTCAACTGGAGAACGCCCATCAGGAAATTCCCGCCAGCGAGATTCCCGAAGTCAGTCTCCACAGCAAGAGACCCGTTCTCAGCCCAGCCAGCAAGATGATCATATACCATCGAGTGACCCTTGCCAGGGGCGGTCACAGGACACAGAGCGTGATGTGGAAACCCATGACTGGGAAGACAGACCCTTGTTTGAAGATGAATCTGATGCCAGTAGCGAGGATGGACAAAATGAACCCACCAGCAATGGGATGGAGTCACATCCCAACTGCCACATGGAGGGGGTGATTCTAGGAGTAAGTACCAAAATATGGCAATGACAAATACTTTGACACTGACATGTGCTATTCAGTTGCTTACTAGGAAGATGAAGAGTTCCCCTCCCGCTGGAGAGCTGGTCATTGAGATGTGACATCCACATTGGCCCCAAGTAGTCCAAGAGGGTTGCCCAGTACCCCAAATTCCCATCAACCCACACCAGAAAGCTCCCAAGGCCCCTGTCACGGGCTCGGAACAGAAGATAATAACGAACTGAATTCCTATCTAGACTATTGTAGCCATCAACGAGAATATCGAATCTGGGGAGGAAAAAAGGAGAGGAAATCTATCTGGCGAGTACAGTCTCTATAAACCTTTGTGTGATGCGGCTTGAGCCCTTGTTTGTCCATATTGTTTGTATGGCATCTTTTGGCATGTTGGCACTGTTTGCCTGGTCGTTGAGCCGTCACAGCCCCAGCAAAAAGTCCGCGAGGAGCTTGAACATTGAAAAGGACAATGACATTGCCTGGAGTGGTTCCAAATGAAAACTACACCAGACAGAATCAAAAGCCGCTTTGAGAGAACATAACAGGGGTTTTTATCAAGAGACCATCCAACTGGTTGCGGGCTGGGTATTCTCTGGTTGTATGGAGCCAGGCCAGCCCCATAGACTGACAATTCGACCGGAGGAGAGTGAGCGGGAATTTTCAAAAAATGATCACAGAGGTATGGTCATTGCGGCGTGCAGAGATTCTGGGTGAACATCATAGGAAGGGTCAGAATGACGAGAAACCCAATCTATCAGAGCACCCAAGCTCTGGCGAGGCTCGCCTGGTCAGTGTCCCTTGTATGGCGTTTAAACACTACTGTTGCTAATGATTACTGGGTGGTAGATTCAGGATATGATGGGGGAAATTCAAAGCCATGGCCTTAGCAAGGTCAGGGCAATAGTTCCTATCCTGTATAGTTTCATGGCAGACCAGGAAGCGACAGCGAAGACAGTCAAGGAACTGTTGAAATATGACCAGTTCGCCTGCAACGTTGCACCGGATGAAAGAGAGGTAAGACCCCGGCCTAGCACTTGAAACACAGATGAGTTGAGTATTGATTATGAATGATTGAACATGCAGAAAAAGGGCTACCAGCAGTGGTTGGCCCCCGTGCTGATCAAGGCAATTGTCCTTGTTTTCTACAGTGGTGATGGTTGGCAAGGTCTTGCTCAGTCAGCGCTGACGCATCAGTATTTCAAGCCGATGGGTGTCAACCCTCTGTTGATAGTGGCGACCATGATCTGTCAGTCTCAATGAGTTCAAGACCGGTTCTAAAATGACTCTCAAGTTCGACGGCAGACAAATGAGTGGTATGCTATCCCATACGCCTGAGGTACTTGGCTGTCGCTGATTGTGTGATCCGGTGGGGGGGGGAAGGATTTGTTAGGAACATACATCCGCCTGAAGAAAACATGGTTTGAGCAGATTGAGGGAGAGGGTGCTCGCGATGATGCAGAATAATGTGGTGATTGAGGCTGGACTGACTGCGAATGATGGGGCAGTGGGATTCATGGAGATGGTAATATTTTTTAAAAGTACTGTTTGGTTTAAGGGTCTAGAATCGGATCAGATGTGTGTGAAGGCAATGCAGCGTCCTTTTCTCCAGGGTTCTACTCGGTGTCATACCCACACTACCATGGACCTGTCGCAGGTGTATCCGACCTGGAAGATCCTCCCCACGAGCGAGGGATATGGAGTCGTCAGGAGATAGTCCAATTATATCATTCCCGTATCAAGCATCTAGCATGAAGACATTACGATACTCTGCCCGCTCACTACACCACATATCGTTCGAGCCCCTTCTCGGTCCAATCCCAGACCTTCTGCGCCAGGGCATCATCTTTCCCTAACGACGAGACGGTCCCCCCAATCCCCACAGGCTCGTAATATTCGCCGCTCTTGACGTCCTTGGACACGGACGCCCAGAGCTGATTGTGCACTCCTTGGTCGACCGGGGTGAAGACCAAGCTGGCCACCTTGCCCAGCAGCCAGATAGGGAGGGACCCCGTGGCGTTGTTTATGAGATTGGTGCGCACGACGCCTGGGTGAATGGACGCGCAGGTGAATTGCGGGTATCTGTGAGCTATGTAGCGCGTCCAGAGAACCATGGCCAGCTTGCTTTGTCCGTAGCGGCCAAGCGCGCCCAGGTCGGCGGGTTTGCGCAGCGAGTCGAAGAGCACGCCTTCCTTGGGGGCGTAAACGTAGGCGTCTGATGATATCATGACGATGCGTACGTCTTGCGGCCTGCGCCACCGAGTCCAGGGACGAGAGGTCTATCTCCAGCACCTTAATCGGGGGTGCGTCGGGCACTTGCTGTCGTATCTCATCGGCCGCCGCTTAGGCCTTGTCGATGTTGCGGGCTGCCAGCCAGATCAGTGCCGGCCGGTGGCGGGCGTATTCCAGGACGCATTGCTTGCCAAGGCCAATGTTGCCGCCCGTCACGAGAATCACCTTGCCGATGAGCGGCGGGATGTCCTGCTCTGGATGGAAGGGGACGGATTTGCACCCGAAGACCATGATGCGTAATAGTAATACAACCGATACAAAGGGAAGCTATAAGTTATAGAAAGTGGCCGAAGAGAAAGTAGTAAAACAGTAAAAGGGACGAGTGTCCCTCCGTATATAGCCATGAATCATCTGAATACGAGCGTCATCCTCAGCTCGGTCAGCCCGGCCCGAAGGAAAAAAAAAAAGAGAAAGTACGTTCATTTCTTCAGACGCGCTGGATGGAATATGATGACCAGCAGCCGATTGAGATATTATGCTCCGATAGGAGGAATGAGGTGAGGCGGATTGAGATACACGGATTGAGATCTCTATCAGCATCGTTTACGATAGTTAACGTAATTCCCGAGCCACCCGGCCACCGATCCATTTTTTGGCGTCTCTATGCATTCTCCCATCTTTAACCACCCACCATGCCACCAAATCGTTCCCGATCGAACCGAAACTCGCAGGAACAAGAGGGACGCATCTTATTAGCTATAGACGCTTTTAAAAAGGAGAAATCAGCTCAATCCGTGAAACAGCACGTCGATTTAATATACCACGTTCCACCTTTTCTGATCGCCTTAATGGTCATCAATTTCGCATTGAAAAACGCGCCAACAACCATAAACTCACAGAAGTTGAAGAGGAATCGCTTGTGAAATGGATATTCTCAATGAATCTACGTGGAGCAGCGCCTCGGCCTACAATGGTGCAAGAAATGGCCAATTTATTGCTTGCAGCTCGGGGTACTGATACTGTTGGCAAGAACTGGGTATCAATCTTTGTACGACGCCATCCAGAGCTCCAAACACGATTCTCTTGAAGGTATGACTACCAACGTGCAAAACAAGAGGATCCAAAGGTTATTCAAGGGTGGTTTGATGCTATACAAGCTACAATTCAGCAGTATGGCATCCTCAATGAAGATATCTACAACTTTGATAAAAACTGGCTTTGCAATGGGCCTCACATCTACTGCAAGAGTGATTACTCAATCAGAGTACTATGGCCGGCGTTCAGTACTACAACCAGGGAATCATGAGTGGGTGACTGTGGTGGAATCAATTGGTGCAAGTGGGTCATACACCCCCAGGACATCTTTCGACTGGACATCAAACCTCAATGGAACAATTGTGGAGACAAACACTCAGCAGCGGCTACAACAATTGCAAGAGACATGGGATTGGGTACAAGAACAAATCCATACTGCCCAGACACGCCAACAGTGGAATGCAAACTGCTCAAGACAGGAAGTGGATTTTGGCATAGATGACATGGTAATGATATCAACAAAGAACTGGAACACAGGCCATCCAAGCAAGAAACTTGACTATCAGTGGGCAGGTCCTTTCCAGATCCTTGCAAAGGAAGGGAACGCATTCTGCATTGACCTGCCAGTCTCTATCAAAATCCACCCGGTTATCAACCCAGAGCACCTCCGCAGAGCCTCCACATCTGAACCCCTTCCTGGCCAGCACGCAGACACACCACCACTGATCACTGTCAATGACCAAGATGAATGGGAAGTGGAGGAGACCCTTGCCTCCCACCTGAGATACCAGAAACTGCAGTACCGAGCGAAGTGGATCAGTTATGATGATGACCTGAATTGGTATCCTGCCTGAGACTTCAAGAACAGCCCGGTAAAGCTGCAGATTTTCCATGCAGCAAATCCAAAGGCGCCAGGGCCACCCTGTCGACTTCTCGAGTGGCTCCGCGCGGCAGAGGATGAGGAGTTCCTGGATGACCACCCAGACAACGATTGTCCAGTTCCTAAGGGCTGAGGGCAGCCCTTTCATCGAGGGGAGGGGGTAATGTCACGGAGCATAGACGCTCACAAGATGTATGGCATGTTTGATTACTTTGACCTGTTTGGCATAGGACATTCACTGCGCATCGCTTAAACCCCTCACACACACTAAATAGCTCGTCACCGGCAGGCCTGCCTCTATCCCTCCTCTCCTCATGTTAGAATTTCGTCAGATAGTCTACCAATAGATTCATATTGCTCGAGACCGTCACAGTTTGTACGGGCATGGAATCATGATGTATTAAGCACAACCATCATTGCCTGTTTCTATAAAAGCACACTTGTTCTCAATACAGTGCAGCTTCCAATTGAATCTCCCAATATATCACCTCTTTACAATCAAGTACAGCAGACTGGCCGCCTTTCAAACTGCATGGATATCACAAATTTTCTAAACCCAGTGGAGGAGTCATTGGAAACTACTGAAAGTGAGGCGGAGCTATCATCTGAGACTTTACTTGGGCATTTGATTACAGGGGCTTTGGATACTGGTGGTGTACATACTTAATGATGATGAAGAGGATGATTCTCCAGAGCCAGCACCACTTCCAAAGCCATCAGATGCTCTGAATGTTGTACGGCTGCTTATTTCTTATATGGAAGGGCAGGATGTGTCAAGAACATCTCTTCTTCGGCCTCTTGAGCGTCTTGAGCGAGACCTGGAAAGTGAGATTGTCGCATTGCAAGTCCAAGGCACACTAGATAACGTAATCCACGGCCGAGCCGTCCACACGGCCGTCCCGTCCACTTCCTCCGCAATTTTCCAACAATCATACTTCAACGCGTCATTTTGTCACCACCATCATCTAAAATGCCTCTTTCTCAAGAAAATTGAATTCAAATGGCCATCAGTGCGTATAGAAGCAAAAAAATTCAATCAAAATCAAAGGCAGCAGCAGTTTTTGGGGTGCCAAAGTCTACTTTTATTAATCGGCTTGATGGAATCCAACCACGTTCAGAAACATGTGCCAGTGGCCATAAATTGACTGCC